ATTTGAAGGAATAAAATACTGCATAAGGATTAGGAAATAATATATACTCCATATATATACAAAGTAATAGACGTTAGAATAGTATTATATGGAAAATATGTGAATCACAAATATATATTTTGTTTTAAGTAAGTGAATGATTTGGTGAATATTTTTAGTATATTTTACAATATGTAGTTGATGTCACCGTGGAAAAAAAACTTAGAGGAAAAAACCAGTACCAAGTTGTGACACGTGTTATTTCTAGAGTCAATTTCTTCCTAGTGTCTGTTTTAATATTACATTATAGATTGAATAGTATAGATATAGAATAATAATAATAATAATAATAATAATAATAATAATAATAATAATAATAATAATAATAATAATAATAATAATAATAATAATAATAATAATAATAATAATAATAATAATAATAATAATAATCGGCATAATGTTGTTCGTGATGCCCTTGTTGATATATGTTACAGATCTGGGATTTTAGCAAGAAAGGAGGTTGACATAGGGTTGTATGGACGGAATGACGGGGCCCTCAGACTTGCTGATATGTTACTTTATTCACGGGATCGTGGTCGCGATGTTTGTGTGGACTTAACAGGGTCTTCTCTTTTGACACAGACAGGGCTATCTGACTTTGTTCCTGGACGGGTTGTGGCTGATGCGGCTCATCGGAAGTGGGTGAAGTATGAAGCTAGTTGTCGGCTGATTGGATATGGTTTCATTCCCTTCTCCTTTTCTTCGCTTGGGGAATTAGAGAAGGAGGTTGTTGCGTTGCTTAAGCGGGCTTAGAGGTTCTCGACGACTCAAGACATTGGGGTTCGTGCTGCAACTCATATCTTCACTAGGGTAGACTTTGCTATAGCTAGAGGAGTGGGGGGCCAAATTGTATCTCGACTTCCCACTAATTTATTGTAGGTTGTATAACTTTGTTTGTTTATAATAATAATAATAATAATAATTATAATAATAATAAAAGATATGAAAGATATGTGAATCACACATATATATATTTTTATTAGGAAAGTGAATCACAATCAAATGATTTGATGAATATATATAAAGTATATTTACAATAAATAAAAAATAAAAAAATAGTTTTGAAGGGAAAATACAACACCAGTTTTGATGAATATATATATCATTAACATAGTGTCTGTTTTAGTATTATGTTATTGATGGTATATTTTGAAGCTAATATATATATATATATATATATATATATATATATATATATATATATATATATATATATATATATATATATATATATATATATGCAAATATATGGTTAGATTATGAAATTGTACCGTTGGTGTAGTAATGGTATTATGTAAGGTTGTAATGGTACTAAAATGACTACCATAGTACACTAAGTTTTCAAATAAAAATAATGATGTAATGTGATTCTATTACCTTTATTGTTGTACAAAATTACTATTATGCCCTTGTGATGCAAAACCACATGCCTAATCGTTAACCGTTTGAAATGGCTCAGCCGCGATATCATTTAAGAAGTCTTTTTCAATAAGGCCTATTGATTTTGAAGAAAATAAGACGATAAAATTATTAATAACGACATATGTATAATATACCATTAAATAGGTAAGTGATATCATTAGATGACGTTATATGTAATGGTAAATATATTTTTTTAGTAATACAAATAAATTTGCAAATGATGCATCATATATTAGACCATTGAGATATAATGGAACCAATAAGAAAACATATACTCTAATGGTATTATATACCTATATAATGGTACATAAATCGTTATTTACCAATAAAATAAATAAATAAAGTAAATAATGTCCATTTACTAATTTTCTAAACACAGGCCCAATGCGATTAAAATTTTACTCATTAAATTAAAAGCAATAAATGGCAATATTACGTATATAAAAAGTGAAATATTTTATACATATCCGGGTGTACCGTGTACCCAACTAACTTAAAGTTAGTTTTTGTAATTCATTTGATGATTAAATGAAGAACAATCATCAAGCTGAAAACAAAATGCTCATAGGTATACTGTACATCTGGGTGTATATAACAATAAAAAGGTACACAGTAGATTCGTTTGTTAAAAAAAAAAAAAAAAAAAAAAAAGAAAAGGGTGGGTCCAAGCTTTATTCCAATGACGTGTAGAGAGAGTGTAGTCAACTAGAATTTCTAAATCCTAACATGTGATATGAGCTGCTCATCAAGTAACCAAATCCTATGAGTGATAAATAAATTTACAATTCATAATAACTTAGTAAAGCATTAAGGCTCACTATCAGTCTATCTGGGACAAAGTCTTTTTATGCATTAAGTTGGTGTAATATCTTATTATTGATGGAACAAGTTGACTTATTTTAGGCAAAACGTTACAATAAGAGATCAAGAGAAATTTAGTATCCAAAGAAGAAGAAATAAGGTAAACTAATTGTATGAGAGTGAGGGATAGCTCAAATGGTTAGAGCTTCCCTTTTAATTCCAAGTAATTTTGAGATCGATTCTTATTACTCGTTCTTGTGGCTCTTTAAAAAAAAATTGTATTCGTTCCTTTTTTTTTCGTAAAAAAATAATAATAAAAAATTAAAGAATTGAATGTAAGTTCAATAAAACTTGGCTAAAGAATCTAATAATAATGGGATGCAAAGTGTCGTGTGTATTAGTATGAATATATACTACGTACTTGTAATCTCGCATGATGCAAATTTAGTACGGAGTATTTTATTATAAATTTGAATGTCAAGGCTGCATTTAACTTGAGCCATCAATAACTTAATACTAAAATAGATACTGAGAGTAACACGTGTCACATCCTGGTGCTGTTTTTTCTCTCCAAAATTCCCCTTCCCTTTTTAACCATATATATATGTATATATATATATACATATATGTATATATATACATATATGTATATATATATATAATTTTATTTTTTTTGAATATTTGATACAATTATAATAATATCATTTCAAATCTTTTATATTATCTTTATGATAAAAATATTCTTTTTTATTTGTTGCTTATAATTCTTCCCTAAAATATTAATCTAACTCCTTCTTAATTATCTGATAGACGGAGTAACATTAGATTTTGCTAAACAATTAATACTCCGTGATAAAATTGATTCATATTATTGATATTAAAGAAATTACTTTAAAGCATCACTTTTATTTGTTAGACATAATAATTTTTTTTTAAAAAAAATTACACTTATCGTGCATGGCACGGGGGCTAAGCTAGTTACTAAATAAAATGAATGTTGTTGACGCATGAAAGTTCCTTTTAATAAATAAATGAATAATATAAGTAGGTATAATTATTTGTGAAAATATAGAAAATAGATCAACAATAAAAATGGCAATAATGTTTGGGGGGAGGGTGTGCTAAAACTTTGCAAAAGCCGCCTGTGGTTAAGAGCAATACTTGCTACGACAATAAAAAAAAAAAGGATAATTTGTAAATTACCACTCAAAAATGTACTGTTTTAAAAAATAACCACGCGTTTAATTTTTATTTTTATTTTACCACCCCTTAAATTAAATAACCGTTTAGATTACCACCCATTTTAAAATTTCAGTGGTTTTTCGTCTGTGGGCCCCACCTAACAGGTGGTAATTTAAAAAATTTCCCCATATTTTCAATTTTTCCCTCGATTTTTTCTCTCTCCATCTTCCTACCTTCTTCAACCTTCTTCCCACCTTCTTCAACCTTCAATCCTCCATTTTTCTCTAACCTTCTGACAAATTCTTCTTCTCCCCCCTCCCCCACTTTCTTTCTCCTCCATTTTCTTCCATTTTTCTACTATCAAAATGACGAAAAAATCTTCAAATTTAAGCAACAAAGCTTGGAGTATGACTTCTTTAATGGCGGAACTCCCTCTTTCTCCTTCCTCTTTTAATGGCGATTCACATACACTTCCCCGCGATTCTTGCCATCCCTCTACTGTGTTTTACTCTCCTACAAGATTCCATGTCTCTTTTCATATATTAATTACACTCTCAATTTTCTCTTTTCTAGCTCGATTGCAAATTAGTATAAATTACCAATTTTAATTAAATTCTAAAATTTAGTTAACAACTTTTGTAATAATTGGATTGGGGATTTTATGAAATTAGGATTCATGCTTCAATTGAATTAGGGGTTTTCTTAAATTAGGGTTCTTATTTTAATTGAATTGGGGTTTTTTTTTTGAAATTTCGAGCAAAACCCCTCAATTAATTGCATGAATTAGCTTCAATTTTACCCCAGATCAAAAGCCTTAAACATAAAAAACCCTAATTCGTGAATGAAATAATTCCAGCACTGGAATTATTGGAATGTCGCTGGCAAGGTTTCCCAGGTTAGTCTCTTTTTTAATCTTTTTTTTCTATTTCTTTCTACCTTTCTCTATCTTCATCATTCCCTTCTGTCCATTTTGTATCCTTTCTTTTTTTTTTTCTTCCTTTTATTTTTCTTTCTCTGTCTGGGAGCTGTTATTAGGGGCGGAGATGGTGCTGTTTTGGCGGATGGTGTTCAGCAAGGAAATGGGAAGTGGGAGGTGAGGGTGGAAGAGGCTAGGGATCCTTCTTTCAGTAGAGGATACTACTTCCTTATCTCTGGATAAAAAATTTCAGAAGAAAAATGGAGGAAAATGGAGGAGAGAGAAAGTGGGGGAGGGGGGAGAAGAAGAATTTGTCAGAAGGTTAGAGAAAAATGGAGGATTGAAGGTTGAAGAAGGTAGGGAGAAGGTTGAAGAAGGTAGGAAGATGGAGAGAGACTAGAAAAAATCGGGGGGGGGGGGGGATCAGTCAAAAGGGTCAAAATAGCCGTTAGGTGGGGCCCACAAATGGAAACCATCGAAATTTTAAAATGGGTGGTAATCTGAGTGATTATTTAATTTAAGGGCTGGTAAAATAAAAATAAAAATTAAACGGGTGGTTATTTTAAAAACAGGTACATTTTTGGGTGGTAATTTACAAATTATCCTAAAAAAATGATGATACAAATTAAGATATAATATAATAATATATTTTATATTATATATTAAATGTCAAGGCTTTCATTTAGGATAAGCCGTTACATAGGATGAATGTTAAAGCATGAAAGTTTCTTACTTTTTTTTTTATAATTATTTGCGAAACTATAGAATATATAGATTAACAATAACAATGGCAATAATGGTTAGGAGGAGGCTGTGATAAAACTTTGCAGAAGCCTCCTTTACCGCAAGAACTGCTATGACATAAACTGTTGCATTTGCTTTCACTTGCAGATCCTGGAATACATACTCCTATATGATTGTCTTTATAACATGATACTTGTGAAGCTCCAGGATCATCAGCTGCATGCCGGCCAATATCATATTATTGTGTACATCAAACAATGCAAAATAATTTACACTATAGTTGTTAAATGCAATAAAGATTACATAAATTAATTACACCAAAATTATTAACACGTACAATTTATTATTTTAATGAATTTTATAGATAAGTAAGGTACAACCTAACAAACCACAAGGGCAACAAAGAGTAGAGCTACAATCATACTGGTTTTTTTTCATGTCTTCTGAAGTTTTACCGAGATCCTAAAAAACAGTTGAACTTAAGTATACGCTTTGTATATAATAAAGTGTAAATGAATTTCAATAATATGCTACTTGTATGATGTAAAAAAAGTTAAACATGTAATAAAAGTAATGAGTTAAATACAGAAAGGGAAAAAAATTGATCCAATACCCTAGAATTTTGTTGACAATAGTAAATTATATTACCTTCAAATGTTCAATAGACAAGTCTAGAAATATTAACAACAAAGCTATTGATTGACAAGAATTCTTAGATTGATTATGATCATATATATAGTGTTGTATTTTACCAAAAATAAAAAAGGATAGTTGTAAGTTCAATTTTAATTTGGCAAATATTATTATATGCCAGAAAATTTATAGAAGATTTCCTAAATATGGAATCCATTATTTGAATCAATTTTACTAATAAACTAATTTAAAAGATCTAATAAAAGCAATTTGACAATATATAATTTACTAATTTATGTTAAGGTAATAATAAGAGTTTCAAGTTTTAGTTTGGAGAGCAAGTTTATTTAATTAGGCAGTAATTAAAATACTAAGAGCAACCCCAATGGCAAGCTAATTGTCAAATTAGCTCGCCATGTCACATAAGCTTTTAAGCTAATTGTCATTGTAGCTACATTGAGCTCCAATGGTTAGCTATTAGCTTGCTATTTAAATGAGCCATAATTAAGTAATTAGCTTCTTTATATTTAATTTTATTTATTCTTTTTTGTCAAGTATTTTTTCAAGCAAAGTAGCTTGGCAAAGCGAATTTGCTTGGTCAAGCTAATTGCATTTTCTAGCTCCAATGGTCAAGCTAGTAGCTAGGAATTATTTAAATTGTAAGTAAGTCCCTAGCTACAACTATTGGAGTTGCTCTAATACTACTTTTCCTCAAAAAAAAAAAAAAAAAACCCTAATACTTCGTATATGATTAGATAGATTCACAGATTTACTTCCCTTAATCATTTTGCCTTTAGTTAATGGAAAATTTTTGCACCATATTCATAAGAAATACAGTATAACATTGTCACAAAAAGATATGACAAAGAATTTGTAAGACAATGACATTTCCAAAAATTTAGATAATTATGGCATATATCTAAATTACATGGCTTTCTCTAAACTTACTAAACAAACAATTACATGTGAACAAAATAAGATTTAAACTTACTAAGCAATTTAAACTAATTTTTACAGAATAAGATTGTTTAATTGATTAACTGTACAATTGTTTTAGTTTGGTTATTATAGAAAGATCTTGTTTAAAGTTGTGGATGTCAATGTCAAATTGTCAATTGTCAATAGCTAAATTGGTGAATCATTAATAGGCTCTAATCATTATCCACATCCCCAATTCTCTATGGCGAGGAGCTCTAAACAAGAACTCGTACTTCGTAACAATTATATGTGACCAGTGTACAAAGTAATTATAAAACTCCGTATTAACTATTAATGATACTCCATGTCCTAGGAAATACGATAATATTAGGAAAATGGACGAAGTATATTGGAGTAACTTTTATTTACATACTTGTATTGGTGTAACATTTACTTATTTCTAGTAACTTTTATGCATTTTAAGATAAGTCTACGACAAGTTCTACTGATTCCGAGTAATATTTTAAGATACTTGTATTTGCAGCAAATTCATCACATTCCATTGCTTAGTTCTTCATCATACTCACTAAAAATTATTCCTCCAACCAGGCTGACGCTTTATGGCTGAGAGTAAACGCCAACCAGGTTGACTTTTTACTTTGGCCAATTTTTATGGAAATTTTAGTGCCACCCTGGATGGCGCTTTTGCGGTTTTGCCTTTATTGAAATTTAAAAAAAATAAATGGCCAGGATAAAAACGCCCGATTAACGTTTCACCAAAGCTTAGTTTGGTAAATAGTTTTGTCACGCGTCTACTTTAGAAAATTGTTTCTATTAAAAGCTTACTTTGACAATTTTTCCGAAAGGAGCTTGAAAATTGAAATTTATAGTTGATTATGGGGCCAAATAATTGCATCTTCACCATCTTTATCATCTTCAACTTTGATTGCTTCTTACCAGCAAAAAAGCTGTTAATTGTAAGTTTTTTCAGAATTATGTCTTCAATTTTAATTTATTCCCTCCAATATTTTCATTTATACATTAACGATAATTTGCAACTCCATTTTAATTTCTATACCCTTATTATTGAATTGTAGTCGACAAGTTACATACTGTAATGGAGTTATGTGGCTCAAATTTGCCACTTTTTTCTGGGTTGTCTCTCGAATTCTACTTTATGCAACATTGTTCAATTGAGCAGATTCTATCATGCTATTGCAATTTCAGATTATTATTTCTTTTTATTATCGGGTTTTGGAAAATGATACGGAGTACTCCCTTTGTCCGGAATTAATAGTTACGTTGATGGTGTAATTTGAACTCGTAACGTACAACTAAATATAAATGAAGGTAGTAAATTACATACTAGGATGGGAATTGAAATACTGTAGGGCATTTAAATGGAGATGGATACTCTGAATTTCCCTTTAAATTTAAATGACTTCCCTTAATTAGAATGGTTTAGGTCCCTTCAAAAAAAAAAAAAATTAGAATGGTTTAGGTTCTAAGTTTGTTCATGTATTTGAATGTTCACACCTCCCTTCATGCATGTACTTTCAGATTATTATTTTTTTCGTGTTTTGGAAAATGATACTGCCTTTGTCCGGAATTAATAATCATGTTGATGTAATTTGGACTCGTAATGTAACAACTAAATACAGATGGAGGTAATGAATTGCATCTTTGTATGGGAATTGGAATACTGTAATGCACTTAAAATGAAAATAATACTCAGTATTTCCCCTTAAATCAAAATTAATTTTCTTAATTATAATAATTTAGGTTCTGATTTTGTTCATGTATTTGAATGTTCACAACTCCTTCCATGTATGATTAGCCGTATTTGTACCAAAGTTTCTGTTTCTGTGAACATGTAAACTTGTCAAGTAACAGCTTAAAGGTTAAATGAACTGTTTGTTTTCATCAACTTACTTTTATGTGAGATGTTACATTTTTCAATGCTTCACCCTTGATTCTTTATGTTTCCTTATGTTTTTGTTTAGATTATATAAATAGTCATATTGAAGCATCCATTGCAATGTAATCCATAAGCATAATCTTTAGAATTCACTTAGAAAGTTAGAAGTTGAACCATGTCTCTCTTTTGTACCATTTTCATTGTATTGTTGGTCACCTCATCACCATTCTTTGGGGCAGGGGAAAATATTGATAATCCGAGGATTCAAAACTATATTGTTAGGATTGAAAATGACTATAAACCTGCTGCATATTTTGATGTTGTGGAGTGGTATAGCTCCATTCTTAATAGCATTGGATTCAATGTTATCCAAGAGGAAGGAGGGAAAGGTAGTAGTAATTTCCTTCATGTTTATGGAACTGTCTTTCATGGATTCTCTGCACGATTGACCTTCGAGCAAGCCCAGTTGCTTAAAACCCAACCTGGTGTACTTGGGCTCTTCCCAGACCAAGTGTACCACCTTCAAACAACAAGAACACCATATTTCCTAGGGCTTGATTCCTACCATGAACCGTTGGGTTTGTTGAAGGAGTCTGACTTGGGCTCTGATGTTGTGATTGGTTTTCTTGATTCTGGGATTTCACCTGAGAGTCCAAGCTTCAGCGATGAGGGGCTAAGCTCAGTCCCTACCCACTTCAAGGGGGTTTGTGATGGAGGCATAGACTTTCCTTCCTCATTGTGCAATAAGAAAATAGTTGGGGCCAGGTATTTCTCTAGAGGGATACTGACAATGAAGGGTGCTAATGAGGAAGAGCCTCAGTCTGCTAGAGACTATGAAGGGCATGGGACTCACACAGCTTCAACGGCTGCAGGTAGAGGCCTTAATGCCTCTTTCTTCGGCTATGCTGAAGGAAGGGCCACTGGGATTGCCCCCAAGGCAAGACTGGCCATATACAAGGTTTGTTGGACAAATGGGTGTGTGGCATCCGACATATTGGCTGCGTTGGACAAAGCAGTCCAAGATGGGGTTGCTATTATTTCCCTCTCTCTTGGTGGTTCTCCAACACGGTATTCTACTGACCCCATTGCAATTGGGTGTTTTGCAGCTGTTGAGAAGGGGATCTTTGTCTCAGCTTCAGCAGGAAATAACGGGCCTGAATTCAAAACAGTATCAAACATAGCTCCATGGATCACCACTGTTGGAGCGAGTTCTACTGACCGGACCTTCCCTGCTGATCTTGTCCTTGGAAATGGGATCATATTGACTGGAACTTCTCTATATACAGGCGAAGTGATGAAGGATAAACAGTTCTTCCCTATCACTGATTTGGGGGGTTCAACTTGTGAAGCAGATTATTTAGATCATGACTTAGTCAAAGGTAAAATAGTTGTCTGTTTACACGGTTTTATCAGCTTAATACAGAAAGGCTTGAATGTTAAGGAGGCAGGAGGATTGGGAGTTGTTATTGCCAATGATGAAGTTCAAGGGGAGAGTCTAAAAAGTGATCCACATTTGGTCCCTGGATTATCCATTACCAAATCTTCCTATGATAAAGTTGTTGGCTACTTGAATTCAGCTCGAAATCCCAAGGCCACCATGGTGTTCCATGGGACTAAGGTTGGCAGCAGTCTAGCCCCAGCAGTGGCTGCATTTTCATCTTGGGGTCCGCACTATGAGTCTATATACCTTCTCAAGCCTGATATCATTGCTCCTGGTGTTGACATACTTGCTGCTTGGCCCAAAAAGGTTCCACCTTCTGGATTGGGATTGACAGAGGATCCACGGCATTCCTGGTTTAATATCATATCTGGAACTTCCATGTCTTGCCCTCACGTGTCAGGCATTGCAGCCCTTCTCAAGGGAGCTCACTCAGACTGGTCACCAGCCATGATTCGTTCAGCGTTAATGACGACCTCTTATAATTATTACTCTGATGGTAAGCCTTTAGTAGACCAAAAATCCTACACTGAAGCATCAATCTGGGCCACTGGTGCAGGCCATGTGCATTCAGTAATGGCGAATGATCCAGGTTTGACTTATGACCTAGATATGGATTCTTACGTTGATTTCCTTTGTGCCTCTAAATATACTGAGGATGAAATAATGACCATTGCTAGGAGGGCTGTTAGCTGTGACAAGAAGGCTCTTGAGCAATGGGAACTGAATTATCCAGCCATCATTGTCGCATTCAATCAAACCCAAGAGGCTAGTACAATTGAGTTTACTGTCACAAGGACTTTAACCAATGTGGGTGTGATAGCGACTAGTTATACAGCTATAATTTCCAGCCCTAAAGGGACAATTGTGACTGTTAATCCTCCCAAATTAAGTTTCAAGGTGAAGGGTGAGAAGCAGAACTTCATAGTTAAAATCTCCACCACGAGAATTTCTTTCCAGAATGAAGAGGTGGGTTGGCTGACTTGGACAGACGGTCAGCACAATGTTACAATGCCTCTGGTTGTGGTTTTTAAGAACAGTCACTAGATAAGTAAATTTGCATGATGAAAAGTATATTATTATAATATCAGTAATAGTAATTTTTAAAATTGTAATGTTAGCAATATCACATTGTTTATGCTTAAGGGAATGCAGAGATTAAATGATTCCGTATGCAATGTGATTTACATATTCTATTTAACTAATTGAAGCATTTTCTAAGCCTAATTTCTGAGTTGCAAAAGTTTACCTTTGTTTAAAGACTGAACATAGTTTAAAATAACCATGAATGGAACAAAGGGGAGGAAGACCTAAATTTTGAGCGTTGATGGGAGTGAGTCAGTGAAAATTAAGTGTGGTGGAAGAATCTAGAGTATGGTGAGCCAAAAAACGCGTCAACAGGATGTGAACTCCAAAGTTTGATCAGCTAATTAATACCCCTATGTTTTTTAGTCTGTCAATGTATTGTATGTTATTTTTGTTGATATATTCACAGGTAAAGTAACATCTATGGCACCTTTCTTGAAGAACTTTCTTCCATCAATTCAGATAAAGATGCCTTGAAGAGGTCATACAAATACTACAAATTTGACAACAGGACATAGAAATTCACTTCATTCTATGTAGCTGATTTGTTGCTTACATGCATGGTACTCCTATGCTGACAAGAATTCTTGGCAGAAATCATCCATGTTGCTTGGAGGCTGCCTCTTCTGTAGTAGAGCTGTAAGCCTTCTCAATGAATTTTGCTATGATACTAATAGATTTCAATTCTATTGGTTGCCTGTAGTGTTTGAATTGTCATTGAGGTAGAAAACCTGCAGTCTTCAGCTGTAATATGTTCTATCACAATTATAAATAGAACATTATAGGACTTCAGATATCCACAGCTAATATCGGTTTTATCTGAAGCTACCTTTTGTTTCAAGTCTTCATAGTAGTAAAAATCTGTGCTTGATTATGTGGACTCATTTTATGCCACCGTGACTATCTGTGATGATGCCATGTGATGCAAAGAAGCACTGAACATGTTTTTTCTTTTTTTTTTTTTTTTTTTTTTTTTTTTTTTTTTTTTTTTTTGTTTTCTTCCAAATACTAGATAGGACTTGTAGTGACCATTGTGCTCAACTTTTTCTTGGCCAGAACCCAATAGCTTTGACTAGGATTAGATGTTGAGGTTAGAAGGACATGTGACAAACCTACTGAAATTTTAAATTTGTCTATGTTCAGTGCATGCCTGGATGCATTAGTAATTATGTGTATGGTCTCTTTAATTTTATACACCTCTTCTTATGCCAAATGTAGAAGAATATTGAAATATGCTTTCTAGTGCATTTTGAAGTTTAATTCACTAATTTTAACCATTTGGTATGAGTTTCCTAACGCTACTGCACTACCATTCTTGCTCAAATGTCTGTATTGTATATCAATCCAATTATTTGCACTCACTTTCATAATGTGATAGTTGAATTGTGCATCACTTTTTACTAATATAACTAGAGAAGGTTGCATGCTTGTTTAGACAACCGATTGGAAGCCAATCTCACTTTTTTCTGTTTTGTTGTGGTTTTCCTGTTGATTACATTTACATGTTTACTTTATGTTAGGAATTTGGTTGTGTTAGGCATTTGGTGATTCATATGGTAATGAAATTGACTAATAATGCATTATATCATTTTTACTAAAAATAAAGAAATGCATTTATAGTGTGGCAATATGATTTTGTATCAGGAAATGGTCTCTCCTTCCAACCCCATCATAATGCTACTGCATTTTAGATACTGCAATTACTGTAGAACAGCTAGTAGATAATACTTAATTTAGCTATCTGATTGACTCTCTGGTTCAGCTTTAGTAATAGCTGGATGTGTTTAGAACCTCTGATAACCCAGAAAAGTAAGCTCATTATTCTCTACAAAAGACTCGTTTTTAATGAGATGTAGATATCTTGACTTAATGAACAACCTCAGAGGCTTTAATAGAGTGAACTGATCTTTTAAAAACATTGATGCTCATTTTCTCCTCTCTACTTTTATTCTATCCCCCAGAAAGCCTCTTTGATTTTGTATAATTCTATATCAGGTATACATTTTGGTGTAATTATTTTTTGATCTATGAGTTATTGTTGGTTTATATAGAAAATTATTTGAGAAAAGTATTTGATATATGTTATGATTTTTTTAAAAAAAAAAATTATTTTTTGGATTTCTAATGTGAAATTGTGTTAAAAATCTTTGTTATTGTTAATTACACAGCTTTGTTTGACTGTTCTGCTGTTAAGCTGATCTATGTCTTATAGAGTCCATAGAACTGTGAACTGAAGCAAACAATGAGTAACAGACTGTAATTAAGGAGGAAAAGGTCTGTAGAAACATCTGCCTACTCGGATGAAGGGAAATCATGGAGATTCTTGAGAGTTATGCCAACTTCCATTCTTCAAGAAAGCATGCAGGTAAACCTAGATTTTTTTTAATTCTTGAAATCAGTGGTAGTTTACCTGATAGATGGTTGTCGAGATGGATTTCCTGAGGATACACAGATTTCTTTCGCTTAAACATCTTGAATTAGTGTTTCTGCAAACTATTTTGGCTTCTTCACTGCACCATTATGGTTTTTAATTGGTTTCAAACAGTTTTAAAAGAATCAAGCATGTGGTACCTTGTTTCCAAAATCTTATTGAATTCCACCTGACCTGCCTATGTAATTCAAAGTGAAATTTTTGGCGTAAATTGTTGGAAATTAAATTAATTTTTCTGATGAACTTCACAGAGGATCCCTTGTGAATTTGCCAGCAAATTTTGGTCAGAGTCATCTGTATCTGTCTCACTCAGTGGTGCAAACAACTCCTGGACTATCAAAGTATTTAAGAAAAAAAACAAGCTCCAGTTCTCTACCGGGTGGGACAAATTTATGAAGGATAATTCCGTAGACGATGGAAGTATGATCTTATTCATTTATAAAGGCGATTGTAGATACAAATTTTGCATATTTGATCCTGCTGGCTGTGAAACTCTACCATGTCATATCCATGATGGAAAACAAAAGATTGACTCTTGCAATGAGGAAAGGCGAGAAGTAGGCGAGGAAGACTTTGAGGAAAAACCTTTGCTGAATTCTCCTATGAGTAAGAAATTGTACATTTGACCTCTTTTTTCTTTGTTTTAGTTTTGCACATTTTGAACTTTGTTACAACGTAATATATCTTTGAGGTACGGCATCTATCAATTATTTCAGGCTCGAGCAAGGAGGACGTCAATCATGAGGACAACACCACCAAACTTGAGGAATTTTTGGTCTCTTTGAAGAATCCCTTCTTTTTTTTGCTAAGAATAGCTATAGAAGCGAACTGGTAATATTAGCACCACCCCTGCCCCCTCCCCCCTTTCCTTTATTCACAGGTAAAAGAACACTAAGAATAGTACATATACATGCTCTAAAATTTAACATGAAGGTCATGAACTTCTCTATAATCCATAATTACGATCAATTAGCTCATTAACTTTCGTGGTTTTACGAGGCTTCCATGTGAAGATGAATTTTCATCATATCATCATGTTACCAATACTTAAACATCCTTCTTTGTCGTGTTAATTCTTACATCGTATAAATCAAATCTGCAATGATGGAAATAATTTAATTTCTTGCTTCCATCTGCAGGTAATTCCTAAAGAAATCATAAATACTTTTGGAATCCAATTTGATGAGCCATTTTCACTCAAAGATCCAAAGAAAAGGAATTGGGAAGTACGAGTTGTGACCTGGAAGGATGGTAGGGTAAGGCTCACAGGTTGGAACAAAGTCCGCAATTATAACTTGATTACAGACGAGGATGCCTGTGTCTGTGAGCTCATTCCTAGCAATGTGCCAACTTACAGTTCCATCAAGGTGCATATATATTCCGGAATCAGAAAAAACCGGCCACATTCTTATAGATTTGAACATCAGTCATATCAGTGATTTCTCGTTTCTAATTACTGAAGAAAAGCTCCCGTCATGAATTCAGAAACTGCAGCTGTTAGTTTATAACATACTCTACTGGTTTTGTAGAATTAGATGTCAAAACTTGATGTTGAACTTCCTGCTTATTAAGAGTAGTACTAATTATCATCTTTAACTCTTTGCCAGGGACCTTCTAGCAAGTTTTAGATTTTACTCGTATTATCTTGTATCTTTGGATGGCTCATAACCTTAAACTACGATATATGCGACTTAGGTTGTTCAAGTTTAATCTAGTCAAGTTCGGACTTGTTATCATGTTGGGCTAAAAAGGACAACACTATGTCTACATCCAATCTAAAGCAATTCAATGTTTCCTTTGATCAATATAGTTTGATCATGCTTGTTGTTCATGAGTAGCTCAACATTTTTTCTAGACTTGGTTAATCAATAGGTTATCCGACGGGTAAAGGGTTAAAGTCAAATTAGTATGTTGTTAATTGGAAGAAGTTCTAATGTACACAATTTTTATTAAATCTATTTAATAAAGACCAAGATAATAGACCTATAATTTTATAAAAGAAAATATTTATGATAAAAAAATAAATAAATTCATATAGTTTAAGAATTACATGCTCCCTTTCGTCTCTATACTTATCCATTTATTAATTCATTTGTGATTAGAGATGTTAACAACTTAACTGGTCGACCTGATCCGACATGACTCAAAAAAAACTTAACCCAAATTTTGACTCATATAAACACAATAACTACCATGTGGTCCAGGCAATGCACCGGGTTATTCTTAAATATCAATAAACATTATTTGTGCTATAAAATATAAACTATATACTTAAAAAAAAATAGTGAACAAATGAACAATAATAACTATGAAACTATATAAGTGCTCTGAAATCGATGTTTTGTATGAAGTATTTAATAAATTATAATTTAATATGATACATAATTAAAAAAATAGCAAAGATGGTAGAAACATTAACTCATTTCTTATTGGTTCTGTGTTCAAACGATGATGTAGTATACAATACATGTGAAAAGTGACGTGACATGTATCTAATACATGTGAATGATGCCACGTATTCAATTTTAAAAACTTTTTTTAATATATAAAAGTATAAATATAGATTTGACATGATTTAACTTTAAAATAAACCTAACTTGATCCTACCTCATCGAACCCAATCAGGCTATCTGAATTAACACCTGTACAAGGACCAACCCAATTTGAGCCACTTTGGACTAACTCATTTTGATTTGTTACAAGACAACCCACTTATGAGTTATGATCCGACTTGCTATTGGTCAATGCTTTTGACCAACCCTATATATTCGGGCTGATCCAACAATTGGCCCTTACTTTTGACTTTAGTTATGACGCAGAACTGTAATAAACAGTGCAACTCTGCAATGTTTCTGATTTGACTTTGATGTTTCATTGTCTTATACTACTAAAATCACCTTTCAAATTAAATCAACCTTTTTTCTTTCCCCCCTTTATAACAACAAACCCATCCCATCCCAAATTCATCATCACCCAAAAAAAAAAAAAAAAAAAAAAAAAAAAATCTCTGTATTTTCTAAAACCCTAGATTTCTCAAAGATTGGAACTTTGAAGATGGGTCCTTCAGATAACAAACACCCACAATTCTTCAAAGTATTTCAACCACAGCAATCTTCTGAAAATTTGGTACGTATTTCACTATACTTTTACCAAAGTTTTTTGTTATTTCCCCTGTTTTTTCCCCTTAAATTTCCATGCTTTCTTTTTGTTAATTTTAACTCGGTCGATTAAGCAAGATTATTTCTTTCGTATACATTAATAATTTTGGTCTTCATGTTTATTTTTTTTAACTTTAATTTCATGCATTATGTAAAATTGTTAATAAATTTTATATCTTTTTCCATGTTTCCTTGTGATTAGTAATTTAGTATGATTTTCCATGTTTCCCTGTGATTAGTAATTTAGTATGATGGGTTGATATTGATATTAATAATTATTGCATAATGTAAAAGTTTAATCAATAGATTGATCAATCAAAGCCTTAATCCCATAAGTGGGGCTGACTACATGAACCAAATTTGATAATCCGTGTAGTCAATACAAAGTTTAATGTAAACTAAAATTGTGCTACGTATATTATAAAAATTGAATAATTTGCAGAAGCTTCCACCTGCATTTGAAGAGAAGATACCAGCAAAAATACCCAGCAGAGTGTTCTTAAAAAACAGAAATAGTAGTAAGAGTTGGCTGGTAGAAGTGGGCAGAATTGATGGTAGATTATACTTTAAAGGGGGTTGGTCTAAGTTTGTCTTGGAAAATTCCTTGAGTTTTGGAGATTTTATGGTTTTCAAGTATAATGGACAGCGGATTTTCGATGTTTTAATACTTGGGAGACATGGTTGCGTAAAGGAATTCGTCGGGGCAGAGGGGACTGAAGAACTAGCAAACAAGGAGGAGGATGAGGATGGGGACGAGGATGACGATGAAGATGAAGAGATGCGCTACACAATGTCTAGGAATATTTCATCTAAGAAAAATTGTAAGATACTTTAACTCTGTTAGTTAATCTTAATAAGTCTTTCTTTGGTTTGTTTGCTATAGGAGGTTACTAATGAATTGTGTTAATATGATTGTATATAATTGTATAAGTACTCTTTTGGTCCCACAATGATTGTCTACCTTTATTATAAAGTTTGTCTCTCTTTGTGCTTTGTTGTCCTCTTTGGCTAATGTGTAATTATTTTCACAATACCAAGGCACAATTTGTTGTTATGTACTATACATATATAGTAAGGTGGTCATTTTGGAACGGAGGGAGTAGTTTACTAAATTGGAGTATATTCTTATATGTTGTTGGTGAGTTGGTTGAGTGTAAACCAAAGCTGAATTTGAAATTTCTAGGCATCCTATAGGTATAACTACAATGAAATTGGACGTAGCTTTCTTTTTTGGTCACTAATGTGTGAAATTGTGCAAGACAGAATCGATGCAGTTAGAATGGAAAAGTCGAGGAGGAGAAAATTTTTGTGGAAATTCTGAGATGTTTTGAAGGACTTAAGCAGTATAAATGTATGGTTCTGATTAAATCAGCCGTCTTGTAGGTTACTTAGTAAGAATATATTATCAGCAATGTGAGAATTCAATCGAGCATTAGGATGTATTCCCGGTGTTGGAAGCTGAATAAATTGTGGATGAACTCGTAGGAGTAGAGGACTGATAGGTGCAGAAGCATTGGTTGAAAGATATGAGCTGCAAATTGTATTATGTATTCTTACTGTCATTTCATATTTTCCCGTTTCTCTGTATTTGGATTTGTGGCTTGTATAAGAGGTATGTTTAGTGACATCAAGAGCCTATGCTTCTGCAGTTTAAGGCAAACTTGGTTAATGAGAATTCTGGAGTGAAGATGTAAACTCAATCTTTTTATTGCAAAATCTGTTTTTGTTGTCTTTGAAAGTAGAACAAGTCTCCTTTTTTTTAGGCATTGCTTAATCTTGCTGGTTTGGGATCACATGTTTGATGTTTCTATCATTGTCTTTCTTGAACATAAAACTAACGCCTTTTCTCAGCTTGAGCCTTAAATTCAGTCTCCTTTGCAACTCTTCAATCTATACCATTATGTTGTACAAAGTCAGTACTTGTTTATTTATACACATTTGTTTTAGATTGCTAATACCAACTGTGGTTAGTTTAAGCATTGAATGGTTGTCTTCAATTCTTCATACATCAAGTTCAGTTATTTTCTCAAAGTTAGCAGTAGAAGTTAGAAGATCCAGAACCCTTAACGATGGGGTTTTCACTAGGATCATTGTATTATACTCCGTACATGCTATCTTGTAACTTTTCCGCTTATCATCCTACTTCAGTGTCCGGGCACATTACAAACAGTGATGAAGATGAGGATGAAGATTTTAAGCCCACTCAAAAATATAGGAAATTATAAGAGAAAAATGGTAAGTCGTCGCCTCCACCCACTTAACATGAAATATGTTTAGTTGATACCAACTAAGACTCTTTGACGTTCCCATCTCAGGTTAAGCAAGAGTATTATTGTTTTCAAAGACGCGAAGGGAAGAAGCTGGTGCAGATTATTTGTGAGTTCCTGTCTCAAAGCAAAGATACTTGTGAAATCATCACCTCTGATACTGTCCAAAGGCAACATTTTTTTTTTTTTTTTTTGTTGTTGTTGTTGTTGTTGTTGTTGTTGAAAGACAAAGGCAACTAATTTAATTAACAAGTCAACTGTATGAAATGATCTATTAGTTTTAATGATTTTCCATCAGATTTGGAAATGAAATATAACTTCTTTTTATTTATCACAAATATTTCTGTCAGATATGTAACTTGGTCAAATAAATGGATAGCATTATTGTTATTTCCTTTTTAAGTATTTGGATCTAGATTTGCTGCTCTTAATATGATTCTATTTATGGGTTATCTTTCTCTATACCTGAAATGTCTAGTACAAGTACTTTTTTTTTTTTTTTTTTGTCTGGTAACTAACATAACAAACCATCCAAAGGGAAAATACGGGAAAAAAGCCTCTAATGAGCCTGAAGGGGGTCGATCTCTAAACCTCAGTAACATTTCTAAGTACTAGCGATATCACTATTCCACAACATTAATCTTCACTCAATCCAAGTATAGGGTCAGACAATCTGATTTAATGCAGCATTAGAATTCTGCAATTATGCTAATTATTTCAGAGCTAAAAAGCCATCAATAACAACTACTGGTATTTGCAACCTGTTTTAAGGCACTATAGACAAACAAAACCAAGTTGCTAACAGAATATGTCCTATAGAAAAATCCAAAAATAGATGAACACTTTTTAATGTAGTTGGGATTTGCCAAATATAGTAAGAAAATGTCTAAAATACCCTTGGTAATAGGTAATTTCTATTTTCTAATCATGTACTTTAGCATATTATATGTATTTATACAAGGGTAGTTATTATTTATGATGATTAAAAATAGTGCTGCTGTAGTCTCGTGGTGCATTTGGTCACCAAAATGGGACCCACATGGTACAGTTTCATTGTATGTACAGCTCTTCTTCACACATATTAAGAATATAATAAATTAATGCTTCAAATTGTAAAACTATCCAATATATAAGCTATCCTATAATACATAAGATTCCTCTGGATCTTAGTCTTGTTTTGTCAATAATTTAGTCCTTGTTATTATGTGGGTGAAGATTTCTTGCAGAAATTGTTTTTCAGCTTTTCAGGGAATACACTTTGAAGCAAAACTGAAATCTTGCAGTCTGAAATAGTGGTGGAGGAAATGGCAGAAGCAAAGGTCATCATGTTGTACATTGCTTATGCCATCTTCTTTCTCCCTATCTTTCTCTTTCTCTTTCTGCTTGGATTTGTCAAAAGTAAGCTCTCTTTCTGTCCTCTTTTTATTTTTTGTGTGAGCTGTAAAGGATAGTGATGTAGACGGGATTCGTTTGCAATGTCTAGTTGTTGTTTTTCTGCAGATTTGATTGACATGTCAAATACTTGAACTTGCAGGTGCAATATTCAGCCCCTTTGTGTTTCTAGTGATTGCTATTGGGGACACTGGTATTGTAATAGGGCTATGGCCTTGCCATCTTTTTTACAGCATCTATTGCATTATCAGGTAATTTTTTTGGTAGCTTAGATTAATTTATTCACTAGTTCTATTTGCAAGATCTGAACTTTATTTGGTTGATCCATTAGAGAAGGGCTTAAAATTGTCTACAATAGGCTGTGTTGTAAACATGACAATTCACCTCGGATCAGTTACATGTCGACTTTGTTGAGGGAAAATTTTTATATTTACTATCTCCGTTTCAAAATAGTTGCACAAGTTGCTTTTTCATAGCCCGAAATGAAGTTTAACCACCATAAATATCTTTTATTTTGAATTGGCAAAAATAATAAATAGCTAATATTTTGAAAATACACATTGATGCGCTTCTAACATTCACTTGACTATGTTACATTCAATATTTTTAAGGCATGACCTTTAAATGAGAAATGGTGCAACTGTTATGAAACATAAGAAGTACTCGTATATGAATTGGGGCGATTATGCTTGTTGCATATAAGACTTTAATTTGATTATTGAAAGATAATCCATTCTGGGATTTTGTGGTTTGCAGGACCAAGAAATTTGGCCCATTTATGAAGGGTGCGTTGATCCTGCTATCCCCCCTACCAATTGCAGTTTGGACAGTAGTTGGGGTAGTAGGCAGTGTTATAATGGCAATATATTATGCATTTGTTTGGCCTGTTATGGAAACTTTTAAGGCAATCAGTAAGGAAGGCTTATCAATTCCTCAGAAGTTGGTCAAATGCTTAACGGTATGTTTACCAATTCAAAGCTCGTATATGACATTTTTGGTTTTCATATTGGCTGAGGTTATATGTTAATAGATACGAGCATGTTTATAATTAGGATGGTACTTGGAGCAATGTATGGGGAGCATGCACTATTGTGCGCGATTTTGCAGATTTCTCCTTCCATTCTTATTTCTCTGTGATGGATGGATTACTGGAATCGAAGGGAGAGAAGCCCATTGAACTCAAGTATGTTTCTGTTTCCTAGAATTCATGTATCTTTTAAGCATTTGATGAAATATACAGAGTTTTGTTTGCAGATTTTCAAGGACTAGTTTTATACTTGTTATTGAGCTAATCTTTATGAAATTTGACACATGATAATGTTGAACAACTTTCTTAAGCAATTTTATCATCTGCCAAACTAAAATATTGAATTCAGGGCAAACATTGAAGATTTGTGTGTGCTAAACCAAAGCAATAGAATCTAAACCATGTCCATTTCGTATCCATCATCTGAAAATCCACTATATTTGATATGGGAGGTTATTTATTTATTAATTCATGGTTAAAATTTCTAACATTTCAGAAATTATAGCATTTTCTGAAGAAATTGCACAGAGAAGTGAATCAAATCTGTGTAATGCAAAGCCAGGATTATGCATTAAAAATTTCTGAATATGGGGTCCACATTTTGTAGTCCAATTCATGTCTTCTGATTTGGTAGTTGTATGAATGAATGATAACTTGTTCCATACTTCCTTGAGTATCTGGTTTCAAAAATGTGATTAATCATGCAATGCAATTGAGGTCAACATCATTTGTAAATGAATTGGGTTTGTAAGCAACCAATACCATGAAATTTTACTCCAGAGTTGGCCTTTCTTATTCTGACTATGATACTTCAGAAGTTCGTACATGTTATATCACACCGTACAGCGGTACAGTGTTTGACTTCCTTGAACTATTAATTCTAGAAGACTAACATTTTGTTTTCTCCGTATAGGGTTCTGCAGATTCCAGGGTGTGTTGTATGCGCTGCTCTTGGAATCTTGGTGGATGTGATATTTATTTCACTAATTACACTTTACAAAGCTCCGATTTTACTATTTAAAGGATGGCATCGGCTGGTTCAAGATCTTGTGGGCAGAGAAGGACCCTTCCTTGAAACTGTTTGTGTCCCCTTTGCAGGGCTTCTAATCGTCCTGTGGCCAGTTGCTGTCCTTGTAGCTATTGTTTGTGGCATCCTTTCAAGCATTGGATTCGGTTGCTATGCTGCTTTGGTTGCATATCAGGTAGCCTTTTTTCTATTGTTTCCCTTCATGAATGTGTTAACAGGGCACAATTTTGATCCCTTCATATGCCACAATTTACTTGATCCTTTACTGTTTTTGGATTAACGATGATGTGTAGGAAGAGTCTACAAAGAAAGGTTTGCTCTATGTCATAGCATCTGTATCCATTTTCGACGAGTACACTAATGACCTTCTTTATTTGAGAGAGGGTTCTTGCTTTCCAAGGTATAATTTGATTTAAGCAGACTAAAAAAAATTGATACTTCTCTTTGGGCCCTTTCTTTTCAAAATTTCAAGGGTACAATATCCAGTAAAAATCAATCTATCAGTAAACATAATTCAGTTTTAATAAATATCTGCTGAAAAGATTAGCCTTACTCTTAAAAGTTTGATGCATGAGTAATTTCAGTATTATGACCATTATCCATTCGGGCAGCCAGACCTATATATCGAGCAGGAGTAAGCTCCAGTTTCTCTTTGCTTCCCGTGAAGGGGCTGCATGAACAATTTAATGGCGGGCACCATAAGGATCCTCTTCTGAGAACACCTTCACAGAAGAAGAGAGCATTGCATTCCATGCTGGTAGGTGTTAAATATGACATTTGATTGAACAAAGGAAAAGTTAGAAAGTTTAATATTACGCCCACTGATGTATAAAACAGATATGGGACAGTTTCTTCAAAGCGTGTGAGCATGATGGAAAAGAGCTTCTCAGAGAGGGAGCTATCACAATTGCAGACCTTGATGCGTGGCAACAGTCAAACAACAACAAGATAATCAATGTAGGAGTTCCTGCTTATGTATTCATAGATTGCATCCTCCGCTCTATTAAGAGTGGCTCGACGGGATTTCTTTTGAGTAAGAGCTCTTCGCCATTCCTCTACTCCTCACCTCCGTATCTGATTTCTGTTAATCAAATTTAATCTCTCTCAAGTTTTACCCCTGTCCACAAAATGTGTCTGTAGGTAACAATGTTGAGTTAACAAGCCTGAACAGGCCTGAGGGAAGGGTGTTTGATTGGTTATTTGAGCCAATGAGCATCATGAAAGAGCAGCTCAGAAGCCTGAAATTGGTGGAGTCCGAAGAGTTGTATCTCTACAAACTGTGTCTTTATAATGGAGATACAAGAAGGATGGAATCTTGGAACAATGGTGGTGCACCCCCACATGAAGAGATCAGAAGAGCTCAATTGGAGGGTATTAGTAGAAGGTAATTACCAATTCACTGTCCTTAATGAAGAATTATGTTCAGCATTAGAGTTTTCACTAGTTTTTGGACTAGAACATTGGTGAGGCTTGGCACTTTGACAGGTAATAGTTTAAAATAATGGATAGTAGGAATGCTGCATACATAGGGTAGGGGGGCGCCGGAGAGGAAAAAAACATCAATTGATATATGTGCTCATTAGGGTGTTTGAACAATGAGGGACACATTAAGGCAGTGTGAAAAACATTTAGATAGGAGGGAGTATTACCGATACAAACTGTAAGATCATTGCTCAACTCTTGATATCATGGTCTGGATATTTCAGGCTGCATGGCTTCTGTTTGACAATCTCAAGATTGCCAACATCTCGGCGAAAATTTATTCAAGTTCACAAGGATATAGCACAAGAATCAAACCGAAGGTCATTATCTTTAGGATCAGGAGCAGTGTGAGATCATCATTTTGGCATTTGACAAATACTGATATTAAAGCTTGAACGGATGAGTCATTTTTTACAACACATTCTTTTTCTTTGTTTAGCACCAGCTTGCATGTATTGCAGTGTACTTACAATCACTCTGAACTAAAGAAAAATCTCGCTATATTATTGTGACAATACTCATTATAGCAACAATCCATGTAGCCAATTTCCCCCCCTTGAATGTTAGAAATTCTTTATAAATTGAATTTGCACTTTAACAGCTATCCTGATGTGCTTGAGTTTAACAACTGTTTTGAATACTTTATAAAACCGAATACATTTCCTTGATCTGTATATACTAAGTTATTATATATATCAAAAAGTAAACAGTGATAGCTTATGTGCAAAGTGATTGATTAAATATAGTGCTTATATAGCAATTTGTATATGTAGCTACATAATACTGTAGGATCAGCTTTTTGGATCTCGAGATTGTACAATCACATTTTCCTGATATTTCAATTATCTGTTATCCAAGTAGGATTGTAAGAACCTATGAACATTAAGATCCTTCTGAGTGTCAGGATTGATCGCGTTTATCAGGATCTATAAAATTTAGATTGCAGTCCATGTTGCACTAATGCTTAGAAACATTTTACATAACCCGGGTTATATAATACACTGATCTGAGAAAAAAGACTGGTAGAGACATCTAATGATCAAGAGGTTGCTTGAAGCATTCAATAGTTACTGGAGATTCAGATTTCCTATTCTGAAGCTGTTCATAAGCTGTCAATTGCCAGATTCTTGGAACGCCTTTTCTAGCCAGAATCATGGAAGAAACTCCTGTGAACATCAGAATTCCTGCGAGTATCCAACTGAACTGCAAGTTAGCCAAGGCTCGTGCTCTAAAATCTGCCTCAGGGGATCCACAAGTGACTGCTCCATGCATCATCTCACTACTGCCAGCTTTATCCATTTGTGGAAAGCAACCTTTTGGGATTAACTTGGGAACCCATAGCATGAATCCCATGTTAACAAACCAACACCCTTGGAAAACAACAGAAACAGAAAGCACAAGCGCTGCAGGGAAACTAGCAGGGAAGACCGTCATTGCTACAGCTGCAAGGAATGAAACCAACACAATGAGCTGCAACAGCCCGTGGTACTGGCCTTCAAGGCCAACATGGTCAGTTGAGTGGAAATGAAGCAGGAAGAGCTCTTGACCGAAAACTGATGCAGCCATGATTCCAACAAGACTAGAGACTGATTCAGATATCTGATCCGACTCAGCATAGTAGGCAAAACCTGTGAAGATCGCGAGATGGATGAACATGGTTGCATGCTCAAAGTTGTCAAGCTTGAAACTGAGATGAAAAGCAGGGTAATCAAGGACTTGGAGGATGATTGCAAGGACCGAAAAGGACAGGATGAGGATGAGCTCCAACTCCTTCAGCTTCAACAAAGAATTATTGAAGGGGTACCAAAATTTTGAGATGAAATTAGAAGGACCTTTGAGGTAATATGATCTGATGGTGTTGATAATGTGCCATAGACCAAGAATTGTTAAAGCCAAACCAGGTACAAAATGCCCTACAAAAGTCCCCATAATTCTCTATTTTGGTAATTTTTGAGTGGTTTGTTATATTTCTATATATGTTCATGCAATACACCATCAATAATGCTGCTTTTATATATAATCTTGAATCTAACCAAAGTTTAGAAATTGTTTTCATGTAACACACGTAAGTTGGTGCATGGTGCATAGATCTTCCATAAAGTATGAAAAGATTCCTTCCATTAGATTACCACCTTTATAATCAAGTGGTCCTTTCAACAATAAGTGTGTTAAAAGAGGAAGATTAATCAGAAACAATTAAAATGATGATCAAGTAATCTGTAATCTGAAGTAACTAATCACATAATGATTATGAAAATGTAATTATTTGCAAGTAAATTAGCTTGTTTAATTGTTGAAATTTGTTTGATTTATAAGTAGTGTTATTAAGGTGAGTTATTAATAGGTTGATGAAAGTCATGTCAGCTCCCCACTTTGTTGTGAATTGTGATGGAAGATGACGTGCTAAAATATAGAGAGTGGTTTATAAAGAGTAACCCACTCCATGAGGCCCACAATCTCTTGGTGCATCAATAAGAGATAAAAGAAATCTTAGGAAAAGTTTGATATGAGAGTTTCTTTAAAAGTTTCAATTACTTTTTCTAGATCTTAAGGGACTGATTGTAATTTGAGAGGGAGGGAGGAAGGAAATGTTTTTTTTTCGTAGGGGTTATGGTTTATGAATGTCGTCGTCCATGTACTTTTTTTTACATTATTATGGAGAAAAGAAACTTCATCGCATTATATGTGAGTTCTGTTATGTATATTGAAAGAAAATTGAGCCTCATCACATAACACGTATGTTTTGTCATCAAATATATTGGAAACTCGTTAGGCCTCAAAATACGAATTTATTTTGTTATTTTTATAGTTGATGGCCATAAAGTTCAAAATATTTAAAAAAGACACGAAAATTAGATGGTAAAATACGAGTAGAATCACAAATAAATTCTTATCATAAGGAAACTTAACCAAAGAAAATAAATGCCAATATGAATCACAAAGTTGTAAAGAATTCTATCATCGTCAAATCGACTGTATTCAAGACCAAAACTATAGGAAATCACCTCTGAAAATAGTATAGTACACCCGGGTGCACCATGCGCATGGTGCACCCGGAAAGAACATTAGGTATATTTTAAAGAACATGGAAAAAAAAAGAACATACTAGTTTTTGAAAAAGAACATGCTAGTGTTTAAAAAGAACGTGTTTGTGTTTGATAAAGAACATACCTATATATGTTTAGTAATATGTTCTTCTATACTTATACTCCTTAACATGTGAATTAAACATGTTTTTGGGTTTCAATAGTACAAAATATGTTCTAAAAATATGTTCTTTTAATTTGACTCGTATGTTCTTTGAATTTGGCTTTTTTTTTTTTTTGAAAGATACTCTTATGTTCTTTAACATAGTGAGTTTTTTTTTTTAATTATGTTCTTTAATTTATGTTCTCTGCGACTGTAACGTATGTTCTTTTTACCACCCCCCCCCCCCTCTCCCCTCCCCTTTAAAAACCAAGCCTCTATGATATATACAGGGTAACAATTAACGGACACGCTGAAATTGTCAATATTACAATTCAATAGTAAGCTAAATTTCCAAGTAGATAAACTAGTAGCAATAATCCAATAGAAGGACATCGTATTACATCAAAAAGAACATTATTAGAAACATTAACTTTAAATAAATGAACATTAACTTTAAATAAAAGAACATAATACAATTTGAAAAAGAACGTCGTATTACATCAAAAAGAACATTATCTGAAACAATTAATTATTTAAGTTTGAATTTTAATTACTTAAGGAAGACACTCGATTTTCAGGACGATGTTTAGGGGTTAGAACTCGGTATAAGAACAATTAAAAGTACAAAATTATAGAATTGAATGAGAAATTTGCACTTACCCATCGTTTTTGGCCTTCATAATTGCAAAAAAACTTGATTAATTTCTGAAGATGATTTGGTTTTTGAGTAAAATAGGGTTTATTTGAAAGGGGGAAGATGGGGAAGATGGAGAAGATGGAAATTTACTTTTTTTTTTGCAAAGTAAATTTTAGGAAAGATAAAAAGTAAATGTTTAAGTGGACCCTGAAATTTTCAGAAACCCATTAACTGTGACTGTCCATCCCCAATTAAATGCGCGTACTTTTAAAACATATAGGATGTTCTTTTATAAACGATGTTCTTTTATTCATAGAGTGATCTTCCGGGTGTACCATGCGCATGGTACACCCGGGTGTACGAAACTCTAATTGAATCACCTCTTGTGGTGTTTGTTTTAGGAAAATTTAACAACAACAAACCAATCTTTGCTCTATTCTCTCAAAATGGATCAACCTTTAAATTTTCCCAAAATAAACACAAGTTTGTATTTTTTATAAATAAACCTATAAATCTTCCCGTAGTAAACCTAGAAGATCACTTGATATGTTTTACCTGGTTGTAATCCACATGTCATGTCCTCATTGGTTAATTTTTTTATATAAATATTTTGACAATTAACAAAATTATTTATTTTAATTTTTAAAATCAAATAATTAAAAAAAAAAACACCTTCCTTTTCCCCACTACTGCCAGCTCCACTCCCCACCAGCCACCTCTCCCCGGCCTGTCGGCAGCCGACACCCAACCGCAAGTAACACCTCAACACAAAAACCCACGCAACTCCCCTGCTCCCTGCACTCCACCACACCAAAACAGAGCAGCCCGCACCAACCACCTAACACCACCGCCCAGAATTCATCCTTCATCATCTTCTTCCTCAACCTCTGCAACACCAAATCTACCAATTTCCTCTCCTCAATTCCTCCATTAACGCGCAGAACAAGCTTCAATGTCGACCGACAACGAAGATCTCGACGAAAGATGAGCTCCTTCAGATGGCATTGAAAGAACAAGCTGAACGAGACACCAATTATCGGAAACCGCCATCAAAATCGTCCAAAACGGTGGCGCCCGCCGAATAATAAAGGGTCGTCGTCAGCGAGTAAAAACCCTAACCCTAGCCCCAACTTGGGAAATTCTACGTGGTAGCCTCAAGGATTCAGTTTTTCAACTTCTTTCCAACTCTCTTTAGTGGCACCAATGTTTTGAAAATTAAGCATAGTGCCCTTTTTTAAGTTTTATGGCTAACCTTTATGATTAAAATGGTAAACCTTTGATTTTTTTATTAAAAAATTATTATATAAACAATAAAATATAAAAAAAAAAAAAAAACCATCACCAACCCAGCCCCAACAACCCCTCCCCTTCCGACGTCCACCATTTCCCCCACCCCCACCAACACCAGCGCCCAACTCCACCTTCGCCGGTGCGCTGGCCTTCGATCCTCCACCTCCACCTCCTCTCTTTCTCCCAATCTCGAACCCCCACCACCCCCCATTTCCCTCACCGCCCCACTACCGACCTCGACCCACCCCAAACCACCCCGAAAATCGGCGTACCTCCTTTTCGACCCTCTTCCCTAGTTCGCCGACCCAAAAACCCTTAAATCCACCCCAAAATACCAAAAAATACCCAAACCCGTTTAGGGTTTTGAAACCAAACCTAGGAAACGGGTTTCGGTTTTCTGGAGATTTTGGGTGGGTTTTAAGGTTTCCGTGGCCAGCTCACAGAGGAGGGGGTTTGTCGGGGAAGGGCGCTGGTTTTTGTAGTGGTGTGGGGTGCGATTAAGGCCCGACGGGCGACGGTGGGGGAAATGGGAAAGAGAGGGGGTGTGGGGCGGACAGCGTGGGGGAAATGGAAAATGGGAAAGAGAGGAGGTGGGGAGGCTAGGCGTCGCTGGATAGAGGTGGGGAGGCCAGGCGTCGTCGGCTAGGGGTTGGCCGCTGGTAGTGGTGCTGGTGGCTAGGTGAGGGGTTAGGGTTCCGGCGAGTTCGTGGTGGCTGGGTTGGTGATTGGGGTTTTTTTTTGTTTTAATTTTATTTGTTTACAAAATAATTTTTTAATAAAAAAAATCAAAGGTTAACCATTTAATCATAAAGGTTAGCCATAAAACCTTAAAAAGGGCACTATGCTTAATTTTTCAAAACCTTGGTGCCACTTAAGTGAGTTGGAAAAAAGTTCGTCTTCTACGCAGAAAAACTGAATCCTTGAGGCCACCATGTACAATTTCCCATTTTTTTTTTATAGTTTAAAATCTATTAGCTGGACATTGCTATATTAAGTTTTGAAAAATCTGTCAATGCAGGTGAAGCGAAAAAAAGGTGACAACCCATATGCTGAGTTCTAGAGGGTTGGCAACGAAGCTGAAGTATCGTGCGATGATTTTGTGATGAACGCCCCTATGGAGGAGTGGTCGACAGAGCAGCAGTTATTTTGAGCAAAAACGGTTCCTAAGTTTTCTGTGGCTAGATCAAATCAAATTATGTGTTTTACCTGAATTGAGTTTGAATTCAATGGTTCATTTTGCACTTGAATGGTTCATTTTGCGCCTGGTAGGTTATGCTGTAATGTTAATGGGAAAAACATGCCTACCTGGTTAAAAACTTTGTCTTATGTTTGTACTTGAGTGGTTCATTTTGTACCTTGTATCAACTTGTTTGTTCAGACTGAGTTAATTGTGATGTTCAGACTGAGTCACTCTGTGATGTTAAGAATGTGATGAATTGAATGATGTTATTTACTTCTCTGTGATGTTCAAATTCAGGGTATCTAGCTCCATTTTGTTGGATTGAGTTTGAACACATTATTCAGGTCCATATTATTGAAGCCTATTATCATATTTAATTTGTCCAAAACGGAGTTTATCAGGCCCATATTTTTATCTTTAATTAGCCTAATATTTTTTTTCCAAACTGGAGTCTATCCTCATGTTAATTATGGACTGTTAACACATTCTTTTGTTCATTATTGTCACATAATTAACCGATTTTTATCTTTAATTGGTCTAAGGTGTCCAAAATTTAATTGTTCTAAGGTGTCCAAAATAACACATTCTTTTGTAACATATGAGGAGCGTTAATAAAAAAAAGTCTAAATTAAGGAAATTGTCATTTAAAAGAGCTAGAATTGAGTACAAGTGCGATACGTACACAAAAGGGCCACTTAATTACG